ACTACTACTACTACTAATACTAATAATTAATACTCGTACTGATACTAACTTTAAAATAAGCAACCTGAAAGCCGAATCTCGTCTGAGGGCAGTCCCAGCGGCTGCAGATGCGCCTCAACGGCATCCAGGCGCTCCTGGCACGGAGGAATTGGGGGCTTAGGGCTCAGGGTTTAGAGGTTAGGGGGTTAAGGGTTTAGGCTTTAAGGGTTTAGGGTTTAGCCTTTGAGGGTTTAGGGTTTTAGGGTTTAGGGTTTGGGCTTTAAAGGGTTAGGGCCAAGTTTAGGGCTTAGCTTTTAGGGTCTAAGAATGCTTGGGTTTAAGGGGTTTGGGGCTTAGGGATCAGGTCTGGAAGCTCGAGTGCACGCTTTAAGACTTAAGGTGGCGAGCTCTTGTCCACTGGTCTTCTGATATCTAAAATGAAATAGACTATAAGATAGAATATAATACAGAAGATAGTATAGGATATAGTATGGAAAATAATATAGAATATAATATGGAATATAATATGGAATATAATATAGAATATAATTTAGAATCTAATATAGAATAAAATGCAGAATATAATAAAGAATATAATATACAATAATATACAGTATATAATGTAGTATAAGGTAAAGAATATAATATAGAACGAGTCTACCAGGGTAATTCTCTAAATTGGAGTTTCCAGGGTTCCGTAAAGGGATCTGCAGGGTTTTCTATAGGGTTTCGGAGGTTTTAGTGTTCCTTAAAAGGATCTATAAGGGTTTCGCTCCTTTGGGGGGGTCCGTTTTATGAGGGTGCCGTACTACATTAGTACGATATTAGGGACCCGAAATAAAACCCCCAGTCTAGAGAACTAGCCACATGCCCTGAGGTGCGAACCGAAGCAGAGCTTGCATAGGGCACAGGGTTGAGGGCCTGGCCAGGGAATCCGACATCAGCCAACAACAGCCCCGGACCTGGACGTCAAAAATCGGACTTCATGCCTCACTTAGCATCCAAAGCGCCCTGCAAAACAAAAAAACGATCCAGGTGATGCAGAAGGGCTCCTCCACGAGAGCCCCCTGGGAATTCATGCTTTCCACCTGGCCCAATGCGAGGCCGTACAAAGACCAGCAGAAAAAGGAAGGAGACCACTGCTAATGCCAACTACGCAGGGCATGCAAAAGCACAAGCAGCCCTCGCCAAAACTTAAATATGACTGTATCAGACATTAGACTTTGTTGCCTTATGCTACAGTAAGTGACATTCTGCTATATATCATGTGGTAGTAGGCTTTACTGCGTTATGCTAGGATCCTGGCTTTTACTGGACTCACCTCTCTTCACACATGTTCAACTATGTCATGGTGTTCAACTGCCCTATGGTACGTATATTTCACTCTATGAAATATTGAACTCTAAAGTGATAGAGTATATTGTATTATATTTCCTTATATGATCGGACATAGTATAGTCGAATATAGTATAATGAAACATAACGTATTGTCATATAACAAGAATGTGTTAAGTTCTGAATACATGGTGTGGTATTCTGCTAGATCATTATAGCATGCGAAATCATGTTGAATTCTGTTGTACCATGACAACTTACATCTAACTATGTCCTTTCTATTCTCGTCGAATATGGTACAGTATAGCGCTGTATGTATTGTAGTCTAGCGTGGTGTAGTGTAGTATGGTATGGCACAGTAGTACGGTGCAGTGTAGTGCAGTAGATTGTCGAATGGTATACAATGCTTGATAGCTTACAGTTTGCAAGGCCTTGCGCGACAACAGCTCAACATCGTCCATGGCAGCGACAAGCCATCGCAACCTTATACACCATCCGTAGCTTGGTATCTGACGATCTGACGTGCAAGGAGAAGCGCCCTCGGGAGACCAGGGCCGCATCTTGAGCTGCAACAGAGGGTTGATCAATTAGGGTTTAGGGTTTACTTAGGGGCTGAGTACCCTAGCCCAAAAAATAGTTAACCTTTTCAATTATGGTAGGTTTATATAAATCCCAAAATGTTAAAGGTTACCTACTCAGCCACTAAGTTTAGGGGACCTTGGGATGCCTTCTAAAGCAAAGATCCCTTGGCGTGCCTCTTGTGCCGTTCGCACCAGCTCCTTGACGAGGTCCAGGATCACGGCTTCAGCGTTGGCGCGCTTCTCCTGGTCACTCCGAGACACCCTAAACCCTAAACCCTATCTTCCACGGCTCCGAGGAGCTTCAGACTTTGTTTGGGCCGGTACTATACTCGACTCTGCCCTGCTCCACTGTGCTACGCTGTACTGAACTATGCTGTACTACACTACCCATAGGCCCCATAGT